GTATTTTACTTTAATAACCAATCACTTATTTACTCATTAATTTTATGAAGGAGTTAACTTAGAGCTCAATTACATTACAGCATATGCTTTTGTGATTAAGCAGGTGGTACTGCTTGGACTGAAAGCTCGGTCTGTCAAAAAGAAACTTCCTCCTACGACCAGAAATTAACGCACCTGTAAGGCAGCGGCAACTTGTCTACGGGCTTTTCACGCGAGGAAGATACCGTCATGGGCTCCATCGATACCAGCACGACTTTGATAGAACCTTCAGCATAATTAGTTTTTAACATATTGAAATTGATAAACAACTTTCCAAGTGTAATTATATTCTATATATCTGCTCATTACGCACTCTGTGGAAGGAAGAATGAAAACTCCGAAAGTTCCAAAGTAAGTTTTATGATTATATAAAAATAGATTTGGGGGCATGTTCTTTGCCTTTAGTGTGTGTGGGTTGGGAAATAATCTGTGTGCGCACATGCACACACGGGCTTTGGACACTGACTCATATTTCCAACACTTTGCAAGAAGAGAGGAGAGGAGAGAAGCAATAAATGTAAGTGAGAGGGAACAGCCTTCAGCTGTTTCTGAGATAGCTGGAACTTGAAGGAAAAGACTGAGTCAGCGTGTTTAACGCAAGTATGCGGAGCAATAGAGCCATCGATTCTTTTGCAGCTAGTGTAACTACCCACGTGGAGACCTTAATAACGCGCACTGCCGTGGGACGGGATAATCTTTAATCATGCTGTTCATCGTCTGGTGGAAAGAAAGGCACAGCGATGGCTGGAGTTGCTTGCCGAAGCTTTTAAAACCAAGGCGTCACTTGGCCGGCAAACCTGATGAACTGCAACTGGTCATCGTGCTGGTGCCTGGTATTGGTGAGAAAAGGGAGGGGACATCGAGTCAAGAACATGTTTCACGGTTTCATTTGCACCGCACTGTGTCTAGTGTCACGGGACGACCATCAGGGCAGGAGCACGTGATTGACATGAACCGTGCTAACACGCTGGAGAACGGTGAATTTCCCCCCGTTTGGGGATGGTAGGGGGCCATACTTTTGTCTGGAGGTGAAAAAGGGGAAAAAAGGCCCACGCACATGACGATTGAATCACGTGACTGTGACTTCATTTAATTTGGTGGCTGTTGAGCCCTGCGCGGGCACCTCTGCTGCGTTCAGGGAGCTTGACTTTCCCGACTCAGGCCTCAGCTTACGCCAACGTGTGCTGCTCGTCCCTGGCCCCCGGGGCTCAGCTACTTTATTTTTAAGGGATGCCAGTATTCACTGAATTCCTTGCAGCTCCTCTCTCTGCCAAGACTGGCTGGCTAATGGCACGTATGTTTCACAGAGAGGTCCATTTGTTTGAAGATAAAAATTACTGGGGTGCAGGGATTGCAAAGATCATGAAAATCCAACACAACTTCCCCATTTAATTGTATCTATTAATATTAACCTCTCCTTATTTGAGAACTGACGAGTGTAAAATGGGCCGACTTGGGTTTTCTCTCCTCTAACGTGTCATTTTTATTTTTAGAAGTCAGAGAGAGCAGTGTAAGGAATGTAAGACACGAACGATTGCACGGAGTGTTACAAATCTGGGGTAACCACATTCCTAACAATGCACGCATGAGCAACGCCCCAGGAATGCCCTTTGGAAGTGATTAAGAGAGTTGCTATATTTTTAACTGGGTAACTGCAGCATCTATTACAGCCTGCAGCATCTATTATAGGGATTTAATTTTCATTGTGGGATTTATTATTTGCCATTTTTTTCTTCAGCATGAAGAATTAAAATAGAGACTGATATTTATAAATGTTTCACAGATTTCCCTTACGGCATGTCCTAGAGCATGTTTCAAATGAACGCACTGTGAATGGGGTCCCGTCAAAGCCAGAAGTCGTCTGCCTGAGCTGCTACATGGGCAGTGTGAGGACAGTGTCTTTCCTGGCATTGAAGAGGCCCCGGTTGCAGCCACCCTGGGAAGAACAGAACCGAGTTGCTACATCACTGCGTTTTCATCTTGCAAGACGCCGACCAGATTCTGGCCCAGCTGTTCCCCCAATCACGCTAGAGGATACGTTATTATCCAGCTACAACCAGTCAGGAAGTCACTTCCTATTAGGGGTAATTATCAACACAACCAGAAACTATTGGCAGTCGTTTGGTACCCACTGAACATTCCTCAGGGATATTTGCCAAGGTTTTCTTGACACCCTATGGTTTGCAATTTTCTTCAAAAATAGGATTAAAAGACGAATGAGCGTTCTAGTCAAGAAAAAGAAAATCACTCAGTAAAGCTGATGTCAGACTGGGTGCTGGGTGAAGGGCTAGCTTCCCTCACTAGCCAAGGGACCCGGTTAGTCTCACCTGCCCAGAAGTACGAGTCATTCCACTTAACATGCATGCGTGGCGCCGGGATACTTTACGTGTTTCCAACGACAAGTGCATATGGCAATTAATGTAAAACATACTTAACCTTATTAACTCTCTTCTATTTCGCCTCACTTTAAATTGCCAGGATAAAACTACAATAAATAAAATTGCAGTTTTATTACAAATAATGATCCTTGTAGGAAACCCCAGTGAAAAATAAGACCAGAGGATTCACATACACTGACATGGAAACAAAAACTTATTCAAATTATCACAAATTTTTGAAACTAAGCTGAAATTGACATGGACAGTCATCGCTCCTGTAATTGTGAAGCTGGTGACAGACACACGTTTCAGTTAATAAATCAATGGTCCCAATAGCGCGTGGTTCATGTGGCTGGACCCACCCTCTATGATATCATTCATGGGGGACAAATGTAACATATATAAAACTATTTTGCTCTTATTTTACTTGGAATAATAAATAAATAAAAAGAAAAAAAATAGCTTGAAATTGCACAGTTTCATAAGTTGTTTTTCCTTTGCTTTGAGCAATTTGAACCATTGTCAAGATATATCTACACAAGCTCTGGTGAGTGGAGAAGTTTATATAATGTAGGATTTGAGAGTAGGAAGAACAGTGGGCCAAGTGCAAAATGAATGATGAAATTGAATCAAATACATTTCACTTGTTACTGTAATACCTTGTTTTCATAATCAGGAAATTAAATTGAATCTTTATATTTACTATCAAGTATGAATATGAATAAAATTCGTGTACCAATGTTGGGGAGTAAGGTAGTGGTTACAACCCTCCCTGCCCCTACACCCACCTGACCAAGAGAAAGAACAAACCCAAGGCACAGTCTCTGTTACTTATTTTGGCCACATTCAGTATGGAGACTTGTGTCTGGCATTCAAATCATCTTTCTATGTAGCATAATAATTTTAGCTAAGCTCCTTCTCTGAAAAATGTGCTTTAAAAAAAAATTAAAAAAATAAAAAAAAGAAGACAGTGAGGTCTGAATTAGAGCCTTCTTTTTCTTAATTTTCCCACAAAGATAACTTACAGTAAAGGGCATTTTCCCCTTATCTTTTATCTGTATTTCTCC